ATATATATATATATATATATATGTACTGTATGTGTATGTATATATATTTATGTATGTATGTGTATGTATATGCGTATCTATCTATCTATCGAGCTAGCAATATTTCCGCACTTTAATGATAAAGAAAACATTTATTTTTCACTAAAATATTTTCTCAACAAAAGTTCTTTCTCTATGAATGCGCCTAATTCATTGGTTAATTTTAGTCACATGGTTCGAACATTCTACAAATTAAATTTCAGATCAAAATTTATGTAGTAGCTATTTTTAACTCTCTCTCACACACACAGACACACACACACACAAGTATATTTATTTATATCGAAACAACAGCAGCTACAACGAAATCTATCAAATATTCAGAAGCGTGGACATCAATGCTATAAGTGCTCGAACTTTATTATATACAAGAAAATTTAGAAAAAAATAACGCCAGACTCATCTCTGATGCAAACAAAAATACACCATTAATTTATTCTATCTTAACGAAATGAAACCTGATTATAAACAGGATCAAAAAGCAATTAAAACATAATTCATCGATACATATCATTTAAAGATTCTCATAAATACCTTTGATTTATAATCTGCCATAAAATATTTAAAACATCTAATTTTAATTATTACCAACACCAGTGAACATTGTAAATCCCCTGGTGTAAAAATAATGTTGTCTATGAATTCTCATGTTCCCTGGGAGATTACATCTCTAATATCAATAAATAAATAAATAAAAACACACACACAATTAAATACTTACATTGGGCTTACATGAACCACACTCTTTTTCAGACTCAACTGTCACCTGTCGAAACTCAGTGCAACCTATGCACACATCGACCCATACATCATGAAAATACGACTATCAAGAGAAATATTAGTGGATAATACCAAAATACTCTATAGTAACCAATTCAAAGTAAGACTGAAAAATGAAGATGCCATTATTATATAAAATAAACAGCCCACATTAAATAACTTATCATTCACCACAGGAGTCGGTATCTTGAAGTGCATGTAATATAATTAATGTGTGCATATATTATATTAGTATAAGAAAAATACACATAAATATAAAAACATACAATAAAATAAACGAATAAATAAACAGCATTATTTTTGTGCAGCCTCGTTCCCAATAACAATTACACATATCAGACTATTTCAAAATTTCAACTTAAAATCCTGTCGGGATTTTTTAATCAAACTTAACTGGATTAATAATTACTGCCTAAATATACCTTATATATATATATATATATATATATGTAAGCAGTGTGTTAAACTCTGTATTTCTTTTCTTGTTGACTTTTTGTGTTGTGTGGCATGTATATGTGCATAGCCAAAACTACAATCTTTTAAGGATGTTTCATAATCTTTTTGGCTTCGTTGAAATGGTTTCATTTGAAGAACTGTCAGATAACCTGTGGTTAATTGATTGTGAATTCTGCTTGATTATTGTTAGTGGTTGGTTGGAAGATGTGTTTATGTAAACTGGGTTGTCGTTTGGCTTTCTATATGGTCAATATGTACATTTTCTTAGGATGGGTGTGACATTTAGGAAATCGACTTCTTTTAAGTTTGTTTTAATGTGTATATCGAATACTACATTTTTGAAACCCAAAAGGATAATAAATAACATCTGGCTTAACCGACCTTACTACAAAAACGTAAAACAAACATAGAAAAATATTCATTACACTCATGCGCAAACACTTCCCTACAATATCGCGTTTTTCACTGTGTATTCAATAAAAACCTTGTAAAAAAACAGCGGGAGTTGCACCGAGAACATGACACAATAAAAGAAGAACTACAGAAAAATAACCACGAAAAAAAAACACACATAAAAACTTACCTGTAACTGCAGAGTAAATAACGAATGCCCCTTAAATGGATATTGCTTGCCAAACAATGTAATATACCAGGCTACTGTAAAATCAGCAGATAACGATGAAAAATATACATAGGACTAACTGAAGGGCCCTGGAAAGAGAGAAACTATACACACAAAACGCGAACAGCACAATGCTTTCTAAACATATCTGGCAAATTAAAAACGAAAACTAAATTACACCAAAAATATCATGGAAAAAAGAATCAACCGAAACTAAACTTTGTCCGCAGGAATAAAAAGCTATAATCACCTTCCCAGATCAACACAAATTATATAAATAAAAGATCAGAACTTATTTAAAAAATGGTACGAAAACAAATTGTTACTACGTTACATAAAAATCAAAAACCCAAAACGAATACTTTGTAAAATACTTCTACGAGATATGCAAATGTTGAAATAAGATACAAATATGATAATTAGTCCCCTAGAAAATTAAATAGAACAAAAATCTGAACACATAGATAAACAAATTAAGTAAATAATAAACAAATTAATAAACTACCAGTGTACGGATAAACTCAAGTAAACATAATAATAATAATAATAATAATAATAATAATCAACAGGAGATAATTATTCAGTAATAAGTAAATTAATAATAAGTAACGAGGAAAATGACTAAGCTATATTATGAAATAGCTACAAATAACCACATTCAAATTCACAATGATTCCTACTCAATGACTTAATGACCGTTAAGATAATAAAATAGACCTTAATATCCATAATTCAAAACTGACAAGCATATATAAATAGTCACACCAATACAAAAACACACATGATCTAAAGATTGCGTTCAATCATGAAACAGACTCTCGGTGTCTACTTATTTATATTTACTAGATACAGTCTGAAGAGGATGTTTGAAACAGGAAATTGCCAATGGTTATGAAGTGTCGATTCCTATGTACAACCTGTATATATATTAACAAACGTTCTCTTCCCAATACAGAGCGCTCTTCCTCCCATAAATATAATAAAATATGAACACAATATATATATATATATATATATATATTGAACAATAAGAAAATAAAAAATTAAAATCTTCAGACACACTGGGTTGTAGATTAATATTCTTTCGTTTTTTTATTATTATTCCATTTAGATTCCTCGACTAGTTTCGACCGAAATGGCCATCATCGGGAGGAGAAATATTTTCTTGCTGGTAGTAGTGAATAATATATATATATATATATATTCACCGCAGTGAATATATATATATATATATATATATATATAGCAAGCTAGAATATATATATATATATATATATATATATATATATATATATATATATATATATATATATATATATATATATATATATATATATATATATATATATATATATATATATATATATATATATATATATATATATATATATATATATATGGTAATGGTTAACAAGCTTGTCTTGCCAGAAGAATTACGACTGAGCAGTGAGTTCGATCCTCAATGGGTGCTCCATACTTTCTGCCTTGTGCCACATCTAAGCATCGCTTAGAAAATCACTATATATATGTATTTAGGTGCATAGTTATACGAAAAAATGCAAAATGAAATGTATAGATTTGTCCGCTAATCGATATATAGAAATAAGCTGAAATATATTTCGAGTGACTGAGACAAAAATATGAATAGACAGCTGTCGACATTGAAAGGCCCGTGCGCGCGCACACACTCTCACACAAACACAAAAATAAACTCAGAGAAAGCAACAGAAAGGCTAAGATAGGAAGTAGGGAACATAGATTTTTAGCACCAGACCGAGACAGATGTGAGCAGAATGCAATAAAAAGATGTGAACAGAAATTGACAGATGTGAACAGAAATCGGTAGCTATGAATCGATTGAGAAACATGGGAACGTTCTAAGATATACAACGGAAATAGATATACAATCTAAAATTATTTTTCAAATCTTCTAATATTTAAAGACGTAACACTTGTGTTTATTGGAAAATCAAATTATGTCTGCAATGAAAAAAAAAGTTTGATATTTCGTTATAGTCAATGATACAAGTCTGGTAATATCTCTTTATCTCACTATCCTAGTTTTTTTACAAATATATGTATATATCTAAGTCTATTAATATCTATCTATCTATCTATCTATCTATCTATCTATCTATCTATCTATCTATCACAGTCTTTTCATTATCTATCTATCTATCTATCTATCTATCTATCTATCTATCTATCTATCTATCACAGTCTGTTTATTATCTATCTATCTATCTATCTATCTATCTATCTATCTGGATGAATCATTATGTATGATCACAAAGTGCATTGATAAGGTAGATTATGTTAGAAACTAATTCCAAACACAGCCTCTAAATTTCCACTTCTTCCATTGGTCCTGGCGTTCATCAGATGTAAAACCCGTTAGGAATCTGATATATTCCCAGCAAAACCTAAATGACCGAACATTCAATATCAGACAGTCCTAAAACGGGCCAACATAAATAGACCCGCATATCTATAAATGTTTGGCAAATTAGTTTTGAAACTGCTTTGAAAATGATTTATTCCAAAAAAGAATAAATGCATACAAAATTATCAATAACAATTAACAAATAAAATTAACAGATCATAATTAATAAGTATGAATATTTCTACTGTAATCTACATTGAAATCACTTGGTACTGGTAATGGTTATATTAAATGTTTCTTTATATGGAAAAATTCGACCTTCGTTGACCGAGAAGCGATTGCTGTTTTCAGTTAATATTTATTAAATCTTTGAAATTAATACAGGTTTCTTAAGTCCATTTATCGCGCTTTTCAATATTGATGACAGTTTCCTTCCTAATCATTTGTTTTAAGTAGAAGGTTAATATCTTGATTATGCCATTATTTTCTTTTCCAGTTAGAGGTGCTATCCATTTTTGTTGATTCCGGTGTTGAAAAGCCCCAAGTGGTGTGGTATCTATTATTTAGTACTGTTCTTTTTTTGAAATTCTAGTTTCAAAGAAGGATGTCCATCTCTACGACAGACATGGTTAGTTGACCGTATTGCTCAGTTATTTTAGCCCTTCTAGGGCCATTGTAGATCTCTGATAAGTTTTAGCTTAATATGTACTAGAGGAATGTATGAAGGAAATGACGAGCGATTATCTATCTATCTATCTATCTATCTATCTATCTATCTATCTATCTCAGTTTGTATGTATGTATATATCTATATCAGTTTATATGTATGTATGTATCTATAAATTCCATTCTGTTCATATCTATCTATCTATCTATCTATCTATCTATCACAGTCTGTTCATTATCTATCTATCTATCTATCTATCTATCTATCTATCTATCTATCTATCTATCTATCACAGTCTGTCTGTTATCTATCTATCTATCTATCTATCTATCTCAGTTTGTATGTATGTATATATCTATCTCAGTTTATATGTATGTATGTATCTATAAATTCCATTCTGTTCATATCTATCTATCTATCTATCTATCTATCTATCTATCTATCTATCTATCTCAGTTTATATGTATGTATGTATCTATAAACTCCATTCTGTTCATGTATCTATCTATCTATCTATCATCTATCTATCTATCTATCTATCTCAGTTTATATGTATGTATGTATCTATAAATTCCATTCTATTCATATCTATCTATCTATCTATCTATCTATCTATCTATCTATCTATCTCAGTTTATATGTATGTATGTATCTATAAATTCCATTCTGTTCATATCTATCTATCTATCTATCTATCTATCTATCTATCTATCTATCTATCTCAGTTTATATGTATGTATGTATCTATAAATTCCATTCTGTTCATATCTATCTATCTATCTATCTATCTATCTATCTATCTATCTCAGTTTATATGTATGTATGTATCTATAAATTCCATTCTGTTCATATCTATCTATCTATCTATCTATCTATCTATCTATCTATCTCAGTTTATGTATGTATGTATCTATAAATTCCATTCTGTTCATATATCTATCTATCTATCTATCTATCTATCTATCTATCTATCTATCTATCTATCTATCTATCTAAGTCTGTCCATATCTATCTATCTATCTATCTATCTATCTATCTATCTATCTATCTATCTATCTATCTATCACAGTCTGTTCATTATCTATCTATCTATCTATCTATCTATCTATCTATTTTGTTCTCAATTTTGTTCCAGCAGGGATTGAAATAAATGCTACCGCCCAACTTCATTTTCCTGATTGTCAGCTTGTATTCTTATTCTGAAGCATGGTAAACATTCTGTTGAACAAATTAGAGCTTTTGGCGCAAACCTTCCTTATCCGCCCGTCCATGCTTATAACAAACCGTATTTTAGATCTCATCTTCTTCTCAGATGCCGTGACGAAGAAACCGAAATTTACCATAATCTGCGTAATTCCCATAAAAGCTTTCTGAACCTCATATATATATATATATATATATATATATATAATGTGCATATGTATGTATATATATATATATATATATGTATACTTATATGTGTGTACATATATATATATATATATATATATATATATATATATATATATATATATATATATATATATATGTGTGTGTGTGTGTGTATGTGTATATATATATATATATAATCTTTACGTGAGATACAATCAGGTATACTGGATGCGATAATATTTGTAAATATCTGAGGATTTTTTTTCCTTCATATCTTAACGCTTTCCGAATGGCTTTTGACAAATAAAAGGTGATTTTTTTCTTCTTTTTACTGCGCTTATCTCTGGTTTGTACGGCTTAAAATGTTAATGTGAATCAATTGTTTCTTTTTTTTTTCTCCCTCCTCTCTCTGTTTCTCGACTGTACTTACGCACGCATGCAAACGCATGCACACATTTGCACAAACACACATCCCTATGTGTAAAGGGAAAATTATTGTATTCGGTCTCAGGGCGAAATAAATTGTTTTTATCGGTTGTGTAGAAAGATCTTAACTACATTTCGCCAAGGCTGATATTTGTGAAAGTGTGTATAAAGAATGTTTGAAAGTTGAATGCTTCATGGAATACGAAAGGGCATTTGTTACATTGGATAATAAGTTTAAATAATGGGCGTCAAGGAAGTGAACGTGAAGACTTCGTTCTGAAGAAAAAGGCATTGTGGGATTGGATCAGCGACTGATGAATGAATAGTAGCTACTTGAAGGAATGGATTACGACAAGGATGATGAAATGCATTCAGACTTGATAGATCAATGCATCGATGATATTGCTGATAAGGGGAGGCTTGTTAGTACAGAAGAGAAATGAGCGTTAGTGATTGGGTAGGGAGAGAGAGAGAGAGAGAGAGAGGAGGGTGAAAGAGGGAAAGAGAGAGAAGGAGAGAGTGGGAGAGAGCGAAAGAAAGTGTGGGAGAGAGAGAGTGAGAGAGTGGGAAAGAGAGAGAAAAACAGAGAGAGAGAAACAGAGAAAGAGAAAGAGAGTGTGAGAGGGATAGAGAGAGAGAGAGGAGGGTGAAAGAGGGAAAGAGAGAGAAGGAGAGAGGAGAGGAGAGAGAGCGGGAAAGAGAGAGGGAGAGAGGAGGAGAGAGAGGAAAGAGAGAGAAACAGAGAGGAAGAGAAATAGAGTGTGAGAGTGTGAGAGGGATAGAGAGAGAGAGAGGAGGGTGAAAGAGGGAAAGAGAGAGAAGGAGAGAGTGGGAGAGAGCGAAAGAGAGAGTGGGGGAGAGTGAGTGAGAGAGAGGGAAAGAGAGAGAGAAACAGAGAGGAAGAGAGAGAAAGAGAAAGAGAGAGTGTGAGAGGGATAGAGAGAGAGAGAGAGGAGGTGAAAGAGGGAAAGAGAAAAGGAGAGAGGAGGAGAGAGAGAAAGAGAGAGTGGGGGAGAGAGAGAGTGAGAGAGAGAGGGAACAGAGAGAAACAGAGATGAAGAGAGAGAAAGAGAGAGTGTGAGAGGGATAGAGTGAGAGAGAGAAAAGACAAAAAAAGATGAAGTGAAAAAGTAAACGAAACAAAGGGGGTAGAATCGAGCTTTCTTTCTCTTTTCTCTCTTTCTTACTCCTTCAATCAGTCCATCCCCCCTCTCTCTCTCTCTCGCACATGCACATAAACACGCACACTCTCGCACACATACACGAGTTGGGTTAGTAGGTTTATTGCCCATCACCCCAGCTGAATGTTGATCTTTTATATACTTATATTCACTCAATACAAAGCCCGAGAGCCATTCAAGGTAGAAGGTTGGTGTGTGATGTTGTATGAACGTAAGAAAGGTCAAGAAGTGAAGCGTTCTGCAGGAAAGATAATGGTTAACCCTAGACTTGAAGAGGTCAAGATTTTAGTGATTGGAAAAACATCCCGCCGAGAGTCTGTCCCATAATACCGCAGTTCTTGAGAAGAACCTGACCGAGTGGCACTTACTCCTTACTAATAGAATACGAAGGGAATGGGGATGATTCACGCTTGTGTACGTGGCATGGCAGGTCCCAGTTGTAAAGGTCAAGGATATTGGGACTGAGTAATGTTGGTCTGCAGAATACATGCCATGGAAATACCGAGAGGCTCGCAAAGTTTCATTGTGGGAATAGAGGTTGTAAAGTGGAAGATAATTCATCACCCACAAGGCCGCGAAGACGTTTATTTGAACCGATGAGATGCAATCAATTCCAGGAGTTGGCTAGATTCCATGTACTCGATTGTCTGCCCCCAATTCAGTTAAACATGAATGGTTCAAGGCGTAAACTTCAATATATTCTCTTCAGACGCATCCAACAAATGTATCTTATTTTGGGGCAGTCTTGGAGCGTTGCTGGAGAGATATATCAGCGCAATGACTCCAGCACCTCGGAGATCCCATACCATTCGCTTAGTTACCGTTATTCAGACGCTGGTAAGAGTGACAGATTTTTAGGTAGACATCTCTACCTTTATGGCAATTTTAATTTCGTTTATTTTTTTCTGCTTTCTGTTCCTCTTCATTATTTTCAGTCATTTTCTTTCTATTTTTAAAACTATAATGCCCAAGAGACACTCAAGATAGAGGGTTACTGTGTGATGTCTTATGAGTATTAGGAAAGGCTAAAGGTGATCAAGATTGTAGCGATCGAGAAAGCATCCAGTCGAGTGTCTGGTCTACAAACCAGCAATTCTTGGGAAGATGTCGAATATAACTTAATTCTTACTAATGAAAAAAAAAAGGGAATGGAGATGATTCACGCTTGTGTACGTGGCATGGCAGGTCCCAGTTGTAAAGGCCAGGGACGGTGGGACTGAGGAATGTTGGTCAGTAGAACACATGCCGTGGAAGTAGCGATTAGAGCAGCGAGTGACTCGCAACTTTTCATTTGTGGGAAAAGAATTTGTAGTATAGAAAATAACGTATCGCTCACTCATAGATGCTTTTTTTTAAAACTCAGGCAACTCCAGGCCAGACATGGCAGCAATACTCTGATTGGTCTGATCTGGCTCTTGTAAGCATAAAATATAGCAGAGGGTGGGTTCAGATACTTTTTGAAACGGTACAATGAACCGATCATTTTTTCGGCACCTTTAGCAATAGATCATATATATGAGTTCTACTTGAGGTCTGGAGCGAGCTTGAATCCCAATGGACATTTGAGGCAAGCTGGCTCATCGAGATAAGATTGATTGATTCTCTTTTTACAGCTTAACAATCTTTCCTTGGGAGAATGCCCATCCATCATGATAGGTGAAAGTCCGGTGCTTGTTCGGTGGTGATAGAAAGTTACAATTTTGTTTTTTGACGTATTGAATGTTACAAGCCAGTCCTTCCCCACCTTGGGCTAGGTCAAAGTTGAGATGAGCTTCAGAGATATGTAATTAATATTCACAACTGAATTAAGTGCCCTGAGAAGAAAGAGATTCTATTGAAAAATAAATATTCATTGTATAAAATAAGTATTTTGTTATCATTAAGCTACGGATTTATGTAGACAAACGCAATAGAATTGGATACTTACAATTTTCGAAATTTTTTTTTTTAAATAGAAATAGACAATACCTACATAAATTGAGGCGAACAAAGCAAATCCTTAGTTTATTATATATCTAAGACATAAGTAATTTTTTATTCCATACACATCTAGATCTCACCCATTCGCTATTAAAATAGTTAAATGCATCCGCCACTTCTACTCCAACAGTTTCTTTTCTCGCACTTCCTGACTGTGGAACTCCTTTTCGGTTACTTGCTTCTCTGATAAATACAATTTTCAAAAATTTAAATGCAATGGTAATTGTCATCTTCTTTCGACCTGTATCATGTTCATCTTTTTACCTTTCCTCAAGCCTCCCTATACTCATTTTTTTCTCATTTTCACTACCTCCCCCCCTCACCCCAGTGGCATTCCCACCTTGTTTGGGGAGAAATGATTAAAACCAAAATTATATGCAAAATAAACATATAAATGACATGCTGGAGGTTTGAACACATTCTGAGTTTGTTAAAAAAAGAGGATAACATTTACAGTTTGGAATTGAATTATATTTCAATTATTAATTTGCAAGTTTCTTCTGATCTCCAGATTACACAAGGCCGAAAGATCGACAAATTAAAAGTTTGGTGAGTACTTTGAACGAACATTGCATTTCTGTCCGGCATATGCAAAGGCTTTCACAACGACGAAGGCAAAGGGGTTTTCTCAAGAGTTTTGGCCAGTGATAACTGACTTGATCATAATCAAGAATGAATATGAAAAAAATCCCCTATGAACTTAATATTCTCATCAGTACGAGAAAATTTATCACTGGAAGATGGAAGCAATATAAGCTGACAACAATTGTTCCTCGTAAGTTAAATAAAAAGGCAGCGACATCAAAATGACGGAAAGAAACTCGAAACCCACTCAACACTTGGTGAGAACTTCAGAAGAACCTGAAGACAGTCGGGACAGAAGTGATATCAAGATGCAATTAGTCAGACACTCGACTTTATAGGACTGCAGTTTTGCTTTCTTAGAAAAAAACAACTCTTCGGAAGGTCAGTTAAGTAAAATATCGTTTATTCTCTGCTCATAATTATCTCGAGTGGCCTTCTTTGTTCGAGAACAAAATAGGGTTTGACGAGATAAAAAACAATCGAACTCTTCGGTGGTGAAAAAATTGCACTTAGTATAACCCCCAGCATCAATATCTATCTATCTATCTATCTATCTATCTATCTATCTATCTATCTATCTATCTATCTATCTATCTATCTAT